TATTTTATTACTAATGCACAAATTTTAATATCTACAAATTACAAAAAATATTATAAAAGGAAGGTTTACAAGTACACAGCATTAAAATTTGTATCAGAATATGGGACATTGTTATAATTACATTTATAGCAATGTCCCATATTCTAACATAGATTTTAATACTGTGCACTTGTAAACCTTTTTTTATAATTTGACATCGTTTGTAATTTATAAATATTATAATAAAATTTATATATTAATGATAAAAAATAGATAAAACACAGATACACAAAACAGAGCTTAATGTTAGAAGATTAAAACCGCCACAGTTGCTTATCCTCAATTGTAATGTAATCTCCAATCATAAGACCAAAATGCCTCACAAAGCACAGTGTTTCAGCAGCTGCAAATGGAAGACTTTTTTCCTTGAAGTTTTTTAGTTCAAGGATACCTGGCCTGTTTGATACCTCACAATAGCCATAATCAAATACCTGAATCCTATTTAACTCATCAATAATAAAGCGTTTCAGCTCAATTAATTTCAGAATCAATAAACACATATCATAATTCCATGATCCTTCATCGAGATCATACATTAAGTCATAGGCAATATTTTCAGTACAGTGAAATGCCAAAAGATCGTTCCATATACAATAAGATTTTATACTTGTGATGCTAACGTCATTTATGGCAACATCTGCAGCATAATTTTGTCAATTCCTTAGAAGAAATGGATTGGCTTTTGTTTGAGTATAAGATATATTTTTGTGAATCTTGCATCTTCGACAACAATAGTTTGCATTGAAGGAATTGGTAAATCATAAAACATTATGAACACCTTCATTATCATTTTTTATCAATTTTTTACCAATGCATTTCTATATTATTTGTGGGTTTCTTAAAACAGCTACACATAAGAAACAGTACATGTATTAGGAAACTATAATAAATAAAATAGCTTTTTATATAACTTATTTTTTACACAAATCATAAAGTAACTTATTTTTTTACAGAGAATTACACAAAGTTTAAAAACTGAAAACTCCTAGAAAGTACATGTACATTTCTTTATCTAGTAAAAAAGCTTCAACTGTTACTCAATTACTTATATATAATTAACCAAATTTGAAAATTTTAGCTAATAAATTTGATAGGAGTTAAATTGTTCTCTTTTAGTTATTTGCAAATTACGATTATCTACAGTTGCTTTAACAATCAGGCTACTTAAAATCACATTAACTATTTAAAAATTTCATGAAAGGTCTAAACTATAAGCTCTAAAAATTGATTATAGGAAAATAAATAAAACATTAAATATGCAAAATAAAAAATAAATAGAAAACCTGTTTTTGTGGAAGATGATTCATTATAAGTATTCTGTTTAGATGTTTTGACTCTAGGAATAAGATTTTTCTTTCTCATCCATTCTTTCACAGATTTCTTGTTCTATCAAAAAGTTTTTCCTCTAGCAAGAGATTGATTACTTCCCTCTTCTTTTGGAGCAATGTAGTAGACATTCTAGAATATTAACAAATTATTAAAATGAATGAAAGATTTATATGCAACATTAATGTAGTTTACAATATATATAGGAAATGTGGATAGTCGTAGAGTTTTAAGTTGTAGAAAACTGACCAATCATAGTCAATTATTCTCGTCATGTTCGATTGTGATTGTCAATTTTCTACAACTTAAGACCCTACGACCATGTACGAATTGTACATTCAGCATAATATGCAGATGAAACTTAGCATAGTACCTCTTCATTTGTAAATAGAGTCAAAATCTTGTCTTTTAATATAGCTAACTCAGTTTTTTTTGGACTGTAAACAGAAAATAAAGAATAAGATATGAATAAGGTATGTCACTAAAATTAAATAATGATTGTTATTAATTTTTAATAATAATTGGTACAAATTATACCAGAAGGTTTGCGGGTTATCGCCGTGTCTTTCTTCATTGTTAATGCCAACGTTT